ATGCTGCTTGGCCTGCTGTGTTCATCCAGCCCTGCACCTTGTTGTCTCGGATTCTCCAGCATCTGCAGTTTCTACTATCGCTTGGAAACTCTACCTGGATACAACCCATTTCCAGGTTCAGGTTGGGAATCTGTTTGCAGAATAAATTCACAATGCGGCAGAACCCATCTCGCTGTGACACTACTGCCGGTACATAAATACACCCGTATGTGCTTCATATTCCAATCCCTTCTCCCCACTTCAAAAATGTCCTAATGAACCGTGTGTTGCTTGCCTGACCATGTCGTAGCATTAAGCATTATAATGCTTAAATAATGACATATTCAGAAACCTGCGAAGACATTCTTCATAGCACTGTTACATTCATTGTTCGTAAATACAACAGTTATAGCATCAGACCGTTACCAATATGACGGCCGTTAATGACTCTTAATTAAGATACAAACGCAACAGATTCAGCTGAGCAGAGATAGTAGGAACTCCAAAATCTCCCCTACCGCATCCCAAAACCAGTCCAGCTCGTCCCTGCCTCCCTAACCTGTCCTTCCTCCCACCTATCCCCTCCTCCCACCTCAAGCCCCACCCCCATCTCCTACCTACTAGCCTCATCCCGGCCCCTTGACCTGTCCGTCCTCCCTGGACTGACCTATCCCCTTCCTAACTCCCCACCTACACTCACCTTTACTGGCTCCATCTCCGCCTCTTCGACCTGTTTGTTTCCTCTCCTCTATCCCTCTTCTATCCGCCTCCCACTCCCTATTTATTTCGGAACCCCCTTCCCCTCCCCCTTTTCTGATGAAGGGTCTAGGCCCGAAACGTCAGCCTCTCTGCTCCTATGATGCTGCTTGGCCTGCTGTGTTCATCCAGCCCTGCACCTTGTTGTCTCAGATTCAGCTGAGCATTTTACCACCAGGGAGTATCTGTTCCATCAAAATATTTTGCAGTTTAAAGGCCGTTTAGTGCGTTCGCTCCTGCTATTGCCTGCAATATTTTGGAAATGTTTGCATTTGTACAGCACCTTCTTCTCAGAACACCAAAATTTCGCTTCTGTTCTTTGAATAGTACAATTGAGTTTTGATAGGCCCTTCGTTTGACAATGCAGTGTCAACGTAGTTCATCTGGTTAAAGCCAGGAGTGAACCTAGCACTCGAAATTTCTGACCTGAAGGTGATATGCTACCAACTGAACTGGCTGACATTCTGGAGAAACTCAGCAGGAGAGAAAAACGGAGTTAATGTTTTAAGTCTGATGACTCATCTGTGGAACTTTATATTCTGTCATGTTTGAAGATGAAAATCCACAGTCCAAAATGCTTTATAGAACATTTGTCAGAGGATTAATAAACTGTACAATTATTGGGTTTTGTCCAAGCTTTTAATTCCATTCACATTACTAGATTGCTCCTGAGCTCAGTCCCTTCACCCCAGAAATGTAACAGATGGAATCTGACCAAGAACTAAGAGACAAACCTTAATAGAGATGGTTCAACTTGGTATTGGAACAGTAAATATATATATGACTAATCAGAAGGCTGGAGTTCATAAGTGTGTTGTTATCAAAAAAATCAGATTACACTTTCAACAGTCCAAAATTAGCAATTAGGGAAATGCAGTGAGTGTTAACCTTTTCCACTTGCATATTTTAGGAATTTTTAATCTTGAAGGAGTGAAAGGCCTGTTTCTATATTGTAACATTTTATGATGATTGGATTTTCTGTAGATTCCTTACCTCAAGCATCGCAAATTAATTGAAAAAAGGTAACATTTCTTTAATTTATTCCAGGTAACTAACTTTTCTGTGGATAGATGAAGAATGTCTGTATCCAGATGGATGAATGAGGAATTGCAAAAATTATAGGAGCAACCTTGGCTGATGCATTTTTTAAACATTTTGTCGGTTAATACTACCCAACTACACAGCAAAATACAATTCTGCAGAAATAATACTTTTGAGGTTTTAGAAGTAATGTTTCTCCCTGAAAATTGTGTCAGGAACAATTCACAGCACAGTTATAAAACATTTGACATAATCACTCCCTGATGCCAGGTTTGAGACTGTGAAGCTCATAACATACTTGTCACATTGGATAGTCCAAATTGAGAAGCTGGTTTTAGATTCAGGATATAGTAATTTAGTCCCTCAAGCCTGTTCTGCCATTCAAGGAGATCTTTGCTGATTTGTTATCTAGCTCCATGTGCAGCCCTTTGCCCCATATCCGTTTATACATTTGGTTAACAGAAATCTATCAGCCTCAGATTTAACAGAAATTATCAGTTGACACAGCATCAACCATCACTTTCAGGATTTCCAACCTTTTACGGTTCCAGGCATGTTGAATTGTTCTCCAACCTCACTCCTCAGGAACCTAGCTTTAGTTTTCAGACCAAGTCTTATAGTCCTAGATTCCTGAAACAGAGCAAACAGTGTCCATCTCCCTTATGAATTTCCCTTAATATCTTGAGAGTTGCAATCAAATCAACCACAATTTTTTAAATTCTAGGGTATTCAATCTAGCTTGTGTGATCTCTCCTCATGATTTAACCTTTGGAATCCCCATATTATTGTGGTGAATCTGTAAAGTAATCCCGCAATATATCCTTCCTAAGGAGTGGTGCCCAGAATGTTGAGATCAAAACAGGGTTTTACATAGTTTTAGCAAGACTTCTATCCCTTTGTATTCCAGTCCCCTTGATATCAAGTCCAGCATTTCATTGGCCTTTCATATTTCATTTTAACCTGACTATGGCTTTTTAATGATCCACATTCATAATCCACAAATCTATCTGGATTTAGTTTTTCATCTAAAAAGACTTGCATTTACATAGCACCTTTCACAATCTCAAAGCATTTTACTGTCAGTGATATACTAACGAAGTACAGACACTACTGTAATATAAGAAATGTGGCAGTCAATCTAAATACAGTAAGTTCCCACAGATAATAATGTGACAATAAACAATAACTTTTTTGTGATGTTGTT